ATATCTTCCCTTTGCCTGCTGCCCCATGCTGCAAACCCTGGTCAAACCGCAAACCGGGCCCGGCTCTTGGTAGATCTGAGGTTTCAGGGTTTGGGGTTTCAGGGGCACCGGTGCACTAATTTAGGCTTTGGAGCTTGAAGGCCGTGTGGCTTCCAGCTTGCGGGTCCGGGCTTTGGGTGTCGGGCACTCTGACCATGCTATGACTGTGCCACCCGGCTGAACCTCCTCCGCCCACGTGGCACTCTTGCTGCCATCTGCCATCGCAAAACCAAGTTTCCACTCCTTCGGCGTCTACTTCGAGGATCCATTTGGTTATAGAAATAGCCGAGAAAGCCCGTTGACTTGCTTTGGTTACACATTGACATCTTGTGTGCCAATGAGCTCACAGGACTTGGACTGCCGGGAGCTCCTGCGCCGTCTCGGGTCTATGTTGTTTGGGGCCATCGTATCAACTTGCTTGGTCATTTATTCACCAAGTGTTAAAGCGCTGGAGCGCAAAGTAGGGGACAAACTGCGGTGTTCTGATAAACTGGGGGTCGAGATGCTTCGGCTGTTGTTCGATACCACTTGCGGTGCTTTCATGCAGAAGTCAGGAATTACTAAATTACTTCCAAACCTGACCCTCGACAAGGATTACAACATTCAGGCCCTGCCCCTCAGAAGCAGTCCTCCAGAGAAATGGTGCCATCTCCGTTTGAGTCGACCGACTCGAACTTTTCCAAGAGCTTCTGAAGCTCGTAACCTCCCCAAACCAGCTCGGAGGGACTAGTGGCTTCAGGCTTTCCATGTTACTTCGTGAAAGCAAGTACTAAGGGCTTGCGTTTGGGGCTTAGGGTTGCAGTTGCGGTTGCGCTCTTGGCTTACGGCTTCAGCTTCAGGGTTTACTCGAGGGTGTAGTTCGAATCCCTGACCCACACCAAGCCCCTTGTGTAGGGGTCGTAACAATAGTGACATCATGACAATCACATTAGTACTAGGAACAAGCATGCTCACACAATTGTGACAATAGTATCGAAAATAATAACACATCAATAACAACCATAGCCAGAGAAACAGTACTAGTATTAGCGATAATAGTGATGGTAAGTGTAATCATGCTTAACCAGGGGCTTGGGAATTCCTTGTCGAATCACCATAGAAACAACAAGAGGGATGCAGGTAATAATGATTCTGGTCCCTGGTCCCTACATTAACCCCTAAACTTCCCAGAGCACCGCCACACCTTCGAGATGCCTCGCGGCAGCGGTCAGAGCTGCCTCGTGGGATGCCAAAGGGCTCAGTGGCGGAGATGGGCTTACAGGGGTTTAGGCCCTCTAAGTTTAGGCCAAAGGTTTCAGGGCCGGCTTAGGCGTGCTGTTCAGATAATTCGTGTCTTCGGCTTAAGAATTTGTTGGGTTTTTGGGTTCGGAACAAGACAATGACAAGCTTGTGCCCATCTGAAGGTGTCGCAATTTCAGGCTTACGTGATTGGAGTTGATCACTAGCAGGGGCGTTAGGGCCGAGCCCAGACACCCAGTCACTAGTATGGTACGAACAGTAGCCCACGGTTTGGGGCTGCGGGATTTTAGGGTTAGGCGTCTTGAAGGGAAGACACCCGAGCTCTTCTTGTCGCCTCACACCCTGCATAGATAGCTTCCCAAGAGGTACTGGCTTTCCGGGTAATGAGACATACGGTACTGACTATGCAGTTGCAACCGGAGCTCTACTATACAGCTCCAATACCTACCCAGTAATCTTCAAGTATACCCTAATCCCTACAGCCCCTTACGCCTCAATTTTAAGCAATCGCACAAACCCCTAATCCGTCAAAAAGTCCAGTCATCTAACCATCAAAGCACGGCTGGCCTTCTTCATGCTCGAAGCAGATGTAAAGCTTTCCACATTCTTAGCGATGGCGGAGAGCACCTGCACCAATTGGCATTCTAAGTTCGGTTAAAGGCTTGGGTAGGTTCAAGGCCTAAGGCTACTGAGTATCGGGCTTGGGGTCTAGCGGAGCATTAGCGTTTAAGGTTTGTAGGTTGAAATCAATTCCGCGCCTCCTGTGAGACGTTCTTTGCCTCCCTTGTACAGAGGACGTGGAAACCTTCCTGGAACTCGCCCTTGGAGACGATTCCGTCCTCTTGCAGGCTGTTGAGGAAAAGCACAGACGCTCAAGCCGTTACAACCATTTCGGAGCCAGTCAGTCCTACTGTACTGAGAATCTCAACACAGGAAGAGCAGCACTTCTGAGGCTCCTCTGGCTGCAGCCGTTCGTGGCTTCGCTTCTACATGTACTCTGCAATTTTCTGGTTACCTTGCGCTTGGTGATTCCAACTTTACACCTTGGTAGCCGAAATAAAAACTGAACGGCACAGGTAGGGCTGCAGACTGCAGGAGTTGGATCTGCGCAGCATTCACCTACGAGCTTCCATGCTCCTGATTCCCCTGGTGTGATGGGCAACCTTCTGACTCTTCCTGCGAAGTTTGGAACGGGAAGATGCCTAATGACCACGGGACATGAAAGGTTTGAGTCATGTGCTGCCGCGCTCAACAGCTGTCCTGGTTGGCGTCCAATCGCTCAAAAAGATCCTGCGGCCGGATTTAAAGCTCTGGCAAATGGGTGCACGGGATCCCTACACCATTCCTCAAAACGACACCAACTCAAAGGACTCGGGATCCGAAATACAGAATCTCCCAATTTGGATTTCCCACCTGTAGACCCCCAGACTCTGCAGCAAACCCCAAAAAGTCGGAAACCGGATTAAGGCCAAATAGTGCTGGGATTCCCTTTACATTACTCTTAAGGATTGAGGCTATTGGGTTTCCAACTGTTGGGCTTCTACTGTATACTTTGAGCCCTAAATCCCCCTTGCGTTGAGTCCTTTTAGGCTCTAGGCCATGAGGGCAGACCGGTCCTTCACCGTGTCTGGCTCATGTCCCTGCTTGAGCAGATACTCTTGCAGCTCCTGCGCTCAGGGCAAATCATAACATCCAGACCGTACTTGAAGGAGATCATTCCGGCTGTGGCTCCGATTCCGCCAGTATCAGGGAAAGCACTTTGGCAGTACTCCTGGTTTCCTGGCGGTCTCCCTGGTCTCAGTGCTCGTCGTGGGTGGGTGGTAACATGGCGTAACTGCTGGTAAACCACAGATGGCAACTAGTTGGACCTGCGTTTGCCCACGCAATTCGAGCGTGTCGGTATGCGATAGTGCGCGGAGCAACTGAGGCCAACGAAAGCTAGCCCTGACCTAACGCACGCAGAATGCACGCCATCATGCTGCCTGCTGCCTATTACAATAGGACGAACGATTTCGACCCCTCCCCACCAGTGATCGAATCAATCTTTCGCATTGCAACCATGGGGTGGGATAATGCAAGACTGAACTCAAGCCTAGCCTGGCCTTCGTGATAGGCAGCGGCCTAAAGGCCTATAGCAGTATCCCTGACAAGAGCAAGAAAACATTTCTTCAAACCTTGATGGACCATGGGTTGTGGCTTGGCTTTGGCATGGTCAGAGCCCAACGGTATCAAGGGTCTTGGTCGATTATGTGATCCACAGTGGGTCAGGTTTTCGCGGAAAATCGCAAGCCCCGAGCCTGCATGTCGATAGTACCAGAGCCATCTCGGTCAACATTTGCGAAGGCCGTTTGGCAGGTCTCCTTCAATGCAGGAGGGCTTACATACGGTTAAGAAGTTAAGAGGGTTTCATGGGGTTTATGGCGAGGAGCTCTTTCTGAGTGCCCTCTTCCTCGTAACAGCTAATTGGCATGACAGCTTTACGGTCCAGGGTTTAAGGGTTTCGGAGGGCCGAGATTTAGAGTTTAGAGAGTTTCCTGGGCTTAGGGCGGAACCAAGGATTCAAGTCACCCGATTTCGGAACCCTGGTCTTGATTTCCATCCACGCCGTTTTCCAGAAAACGAACTCTTGTTCCATTGCGGAATCCTGAAACCTGAAACAACCCTTTACAACACACCCAGTAGTGCCCGTATAGTACAGAGGACCGCATTAGAAATCATTTGGAAGCCATTACACGGGTCTCGCTTGATATCCATGTTTTCCGAATATCCAATTTCGCAAATGGTGCCCGTTCGCACTTGTTGAAGCTTCTATTCGGCTTGTCGAGAAACAACCAGAATTATGCCGTACCCTCAAGTCCAGACCTATGTAGCGAAAAACCTAGTTCTTTTCAGAAACATTTCGATATGGAAATGCTTTCCATAGAAAGATTCCTTATTTGAGGATTTCCTCTGGCGGAAGCCTGTATCACAATTCCATGTAAACCATCTTTGGAACCTACATCTTCAAAACTCCTGAAGCCTGATCTCCGATCCCTGGACTCTTAAAAGCACTTAAAACACAAAATCTGTTCAAATCTCTCTGGATTTCAAAGCCCACGAGCTGAGGAAATCAAGCTCAGACGACTAGTAAGTACAGATTCAAGTTAAGCTGCGTGCGGTCATAACGGATAACCCAATTACGACTGCTTCAGCCACAAGAACCCAGGGTTGACGCAGTCTCGCAATCCTTGTAACTTGTAGTAGGTTCAAAGATTTGCAGGGCTGTAGTGCTTGGGGGTCTTCGGATTTGGAGCTCAGGCGCAGGTTCGGCCTCCGAGCCCAAAACCCCAAGGCTCCATCCTTCGCATCCATGAAGCCATGGCTCGCGAGCGCTTTGGAGCTCGGCCTGGGATTGGTTCGAGGCTGTTTTATCACTGTAAAAATAACGCAAAAAAAACAGCAGGCACGCTAAGCAGGGTCTACAGCTGCGGCAGGATGATGGAATTTACCAAATTCCGTAAGTGGGCTAACTTACAGCCTACCTACGAAATCCCAAGGTGCCCTCTAAGGTGAGCTTCTGAGCCAAGGAAAATGGGACATCTGATTAACACTACTGTAGTCAGGTATTGAGCTCTCTGGAGACGTTGGGCATCAAGGCATCAGGTAAGGGCTAACGTTTGGGGTTTAGGGTTTGGGTGGCAGAACTGGTCTGAGATACCCGATCAGGCGAGCGAAAACAGCCACATCCACGACGTTCCATATTCCCACAATCCCCAAAACCCCGCGAGAATTGGCTTGGAGGCTCAGACCTTGTCGAGCAGATAGGCATTACCACCCACATGCCACAAGCCTTCACCTAAACCAAAAACCAGTCCACTACCTCTTAAAGCGCTGCTTCTGGCATCTCCGATACAGGAGTTTCAGAAAATTCAGGGACCCCAATACAGGATTCTTTCCTAAAGGAAGGATAGCCCCGAGCAAGGTAAAGTTTAAGAAAGCCCCCGATAGGCCCCGGTACCTGAACGAAGCCTTTGCACGCCGGGCAGCCTGTTTGTGTGGACTGGGATGAGGCATTGCTGTACAAAGTCGAAAGCCTCGCAGTTGAGGGTTGGCGGGAGTCTTTCTGGTCAAGTGGCTTCGGAGAACCCAACACCCGTTGCTTTAGCAATGTACTTTGAACCATGCTAAGGATCCCACCATTGTTTGGGACATGATGCTTAATTATTGGGTACTTTTGTTGTCTCAGGGCGCTGGCATTGGGAAAATCGCATCTCCTGCAACTGCTCCTGCGTTTCACCCGATGGGTTTCCATCATCTCCGTCCTCCGGCCAAAATGCCTCCAAGATACCTCGCCAGTGTAGGCGCCCGCTCTTTTGAGCTTCGGTAAGGCCTGGAAGCGAATACCCTTGTGAAGAGGAAGAGCTTCAAGGAAGAGATGGTAATCAAGGTGACAATGCAACCACAAGCTGGGCTGTTCCGGGGACAGCCTGTCAACTTGCAGCCCGGCCCAAGAAACCTTGGTCAAGCAATATAGCCTAAAACATAGACGGCTTTTTTACTATGATCTACGGTAGAATCCTTAAGGAAGGGGTGCTGGGCAGCCTCAGAAAAATGCCTGCCCACCTCACCGTCTTCCACGAAGGCCACCAGCCTTGTGGCAGAAAAACGAAGGATCAGGGCAGGTAAAACAGAGCTTCAAATGCCTCGGTGAAAGGATTGCCTCTTTCAGTAACCCAAGTTGAGCAAAAGTCGAACAATCTGGCATCAACAATTTCGCTCTCTCAAACCCTACAGCGTACGTGGACCATGCCGCTTTAATCCTACACCCGAAATCCAAAACCCTAAGCCAACTCGAATCCGCTGAACTGCAGCTGCTTTTGCCACGCAGCTCTTCGAGACTGTAGGGCAGCTCTCCAACGAGAATGACATGCACAATGACACCTGCCGAGCAACCGTACCCAGCCTCTCTGCTCTGTCTCCGTGTTTCTCCCTTTAGTTTAACTTTGGAGGAGGTTGAGTCTGCCGAGATTTTTGCATGCCAGTCGTGGCCATCACTGCCTGTGGTGTTAACCTGGAAAGTCTCTTGAAATCGAAAAGCCAAGAAATGGATGCCTTGGCTCTAAGAATGAGTCCGTGGGGCAGAGCAAGCACTCAAGTGCCAGACCTAGGTCCTCAGGCCCTTCAACCCTGCAGGATAAAAGCTGCTACGATGCTGCCGGTTACCGGGTTACGGAACGGTTCATGCAGGGGGGTAAGGACGGTGACACATTATATGCGTAAGTGAGATGGCCTTCATGGCAGGCTGTCATCTAAAACCATCTCGTTCAAAGTAGTTGTAGTTTGGGTTGGCGATTAAGCTTATACTCTACCACAGAGAGAAAAGATGTTCAATCCTACACCCGGAACCCCAAACCTCGACTATAACAGGCTGCCTTGAGTTGGCCCTACGACCTCGGTGCGGCCGAAGTGACCAAGTGACCAAAGGTCGCATCGGAAGTCATAGGACTTGCCTCGAGTTTTGCTTACAGCTTAAACAACTTCAAGCGGGTTCGATGAACCTGTACAGACTTTGTAAGGCTGTGCAAGGGCTTCAAGGTATACTATGCAATAAGTCTCGATGATGGCAACCGAATATCTATGACAGGGACCCAGTTGCCACCGCCCAGGTTGAGCGAGATCTCGGCATTCAGCACAGCCATAACCTGATCAGACGATGTTTCACTTGGCCGTCTTAGGCTTGTACAGGACGCTAGATTCCTGTCACTGTGAAGATTCGGGAGTTTCCACTGGCGTGTGCTAGGGGCTGTCAGAGAACATTGTATCGACATGTACTGTCTGCAGACATCATGGAACAAAGAAATGTTGGAACAATTGCAATCTAGTGGATGTTCAGTTTGATGATGAGCGACAAGGCGCACGGGCTCATCCTCGTGGGCGGGGCCGGGGCACTAGGCATGCGTGGAGCTATCCCGTTGTGACAGCAAGTATTCGAAAGCTCGCACTCCTTACCTGCGGCACAATAAACTCGAAAACCCCAACCCTTGACCGCTACACCTTAAACTGCATATCTTCGTCCGGAGCGGCCTCTGGAGCCATGTACTCTGCCGTGCCAACCTCGGACACTTGAGGGCCGCTCAAGCACCCAGTTAGGTTCTTAGTGCTTTGCGGTTTAGGCTTGGCCCGGGTTATCGGGCCAACATGAAAGTCCACTCTACACCTATGGCTGATGGTCTGGCAGTGACATTTGTAGTTTGTAAGAAATCCCGAAATGCGACTGACAAGCACCTTGCTGATCGAGCAGGTATGCCGTGCAATCATACTTTCGCACGAATTCGACACTTAGACCCGCAAGACAAATAGTTCTTCATTCAACAGTGCAGACATGTCCTAGTCATTAGTATTTTCTGACAGTACCCTTCGTGCCAGGACCCCCAAACCAGAAGGGCCCATGTTGAGAAACCTCAACACAAGACATATAACCCCTTAAAAGATCCGATAAAATCACCATAACTCCATAGTAAACCCGGCAAAGGTTTCTTGATAAGAAACCGAAGAACTCTTTGCAAAGCAAAGATGTAACACCTTCGTCAACAAAAACGATGACAGCCCTTCCTATGTCGGCCACGGCTCGAAGGAGTTCAGTGGCGGGGCATCGTTGAACGATGCATCCTGGGCTGGTAAGGCCTAGGGTTTGAAGCAAGGGCCCTCATCACTGCAATAGGAATTTGGCGAAGTTGCAGAGCAGTATGGTGTAGCTATCATAATAAGGCACCCCAAGGAATGGTATTGTAATAACGTGTTCGACATGTTGGGTTGAGGGGTGAGGGTTTAGGGTTCAGGCTTCCAGATTGGCGGTGTCGGGGATTAGGGTTCAGGGGCTGCAGGAACTAGGGGCTTGGGGAGGAGGAGGAGGTGTTAGGGTTTGGGGCGGTTTGGGGTTTAAGACCTTGTGATTAGGACTGGGTAAGCAAGAATTTAGTGATTTAGGGAGCTAGAGCTCCTTCCGAAGAGTGCAGTAGACGCAAGTTGAAAAATCATGTCCAAGAACAGCCTAGCATCGGAGGCCCGCGACTTGACGTTGCAGATTTGATCGCAAACCGTGCGCTTGTGCGCCTTTGCGATGGACTCTGACGTGAACTGGAAGGAACAAATCACAGAAGGAGGGTAAATGACCCGAAGCTACAGATCTAGCCATATAGCAGACTATCACAACTGAGCCGCTCAACCCAAGCCTGCGAGTACGTGACCCGCACGCTTACAGAAAGGCCGCAACGATGCCAATGCGGACGACTATTGGACCTACCCAACTGCCCAAAAACTCAAAAGCCTCAACCCTAATATTCAGCAGGCATTCGAAACTATCCAGATCCCAAAGCCAAAAACCCCAGTGATAAACTAATCCGATACCGAAACTCCCTACAGCCTCATGTTTAACTCCCCCATCCTCAGCAGAAGCCGCTATTCAGAGCTCAGGGGCTGGCGGACTTAAGAAGCATTAAGCATTGATAGGTTGCAAGTAAGGTTGAGTTTACTTCAAAGAAACCAAAGGCAATCCTCAAAGATGCCAAATACCCCAAAACACGAAGACCCTAAAACCAAAAAAAGGGTAGGCCCATCAAGGACCCTCCGAAAGCCCCCTAAACTGCCCCAAAAGAAGGGGCCCTCAGCGTCCCTTCTTCTTGGCCTTGATCTGCCGCGCCAAGCCGAAATCTGCCAGGCGCAGTGGCGAGTCTCGCAGTTCCCCAAGCTTCCTCGGTCTCAGACCGCCGGGATGTGATTTCTTGCACATGGGTAGCCGTTTTTAAGTCTCCGCAGCATGCCATGCCTATGATTGGTGGTAATTTTGACACGATGCTTCCAACGATTATTGCAATTAGTGCTACTATGGAAATATCATGCTTTCTGACTATTAAAACTTTGACGACTAGCAACTATTCTGATTCTCGCACTGGCAGCTAAGTTCACCAAGCCAACAAACCACTGCCTTATCACTGTGTTGGCATTTATATTTAGACCCCAATAAGGCTGAACCATCGCATGTGCCGCCATTGGTGCAATCATTGATTTACGTTTTCAGACTCCTCCCCTGAACTGCAGTGAAGTAATTACATTGTGTATGGCCTCTCTTTGCAGAGGCACGACTGACCCATGGTAGCTTCAAGAAATTAAACCCCAAGACCCAAACACAAGAAGCCCTATGATTAGTCAAAAAGCCGTGGGGTTTGGGGTTTAGGGTTGCGGGCTCGAGGTTCTGAGCTAACCAACCCGGCCGAACCCCCTATGCAACAAGCACACTCCACCCCTGTCATTGGCAGGCTGGCCGCCTCACAAGAACTATCCCCATGGCAGTTTACAGTAACACTAATCCTTAAAACCCGTAGACCCCATAGCACACTGTTTGCCCCATGTGGGAGCAGTTATAGACCCCTGCCGGCACAACGACCTTACCCTACTACTATATAGGCTATCTTCAAGGCGAACCACAAACCCTGCTATAGAAATTGCTCTACGAACATGTAGGATACCATGGGTGAAGCTGCCCGTAAGCGATGTTATCGAAAAGGCTAGAAAACACTTACATAGCCTGAAAGTCCTCAGAAAACCAATCACGGCCCCTTACAATGCTATTTCCGGCTGGCCACCTTACAAGGAGCACATTCTCCGGTTTCAGATCCCGGTGGCAGACGCCTCGAGAGTGACCTTTCCGAAAGCTCCGAACGTAGAGGCCCAGAGGCTTAGGCATCAAGGACGTAAGGGTTTAGATGTTGAAGATTCCAGGTTTCGGAGCTTAGGGTTGCGGTTTGGAATCTAGGGGTTGGGCGTTTCCTTGAGTTGGATTTTCGGTTCAGGGATTAACAGGTTCGTACCGGGACCTCCCAAGCACCGTCAATAGGGGTCTCATAATAATCCTGGCTATACTACTGGGTTCTTTGGTGCTGTGATGGGGGGCTAGCTGGGGGCGAAGTCAGGAAGACCACACTCACATGGAGGATTTATGGTCACGCGACGCTGGATTGTGGAATGCAGAATCCAGAAAATTTGGGGACTTCAGGCTTCAGCCTGTAAGGCTTCTAGCGTTTGCAAGCATCGACGGATCTTTGGATGGCATTCTGGAACCCCATCATCTGGGAGTTACATAAAGAAAGGATCGGAATATCGACCCCATAAACGGCATCTGGAAACCAACAGACTTATGTGTAGCTTTCAGTAACCGCCGTATAGATCACTAGGCTTCTAGCATTCTAGCATTGACTGGACAGCAGGTCACGCAGCTTGAACGATCCAAGGACTACTGCATTACCGCAAGTTAGTCATATTAGGGGCCATGGGTACCTTGCCTGTGCCAAACCTGATGATAAGCCTGCTCGCAAGAGACTTACTGAGTCCCATGACAGTGTAAGTAGAGACCAGAGGTGAACATTCGTTTTCGAGAGGTTGGTACTCTCATGGCCTTTCGGAGCTCTTTCTGGGGTCACAAAAGCTCTTTGGTCGCTGTTCATGGGTGCATTACCCTAAGCCTTGAGTGCCCGGAACTCAGACTTATGGTACGTACATTTATTGCGGCTTATGCAAGACTTGGCAAGTCTGCAGTATCACCGCATCGAATGCCAGATGGCCGACTGTTACAGGGCCGCTCTTGGAAGCAAGTTGACAACCATAATCTCTAATATAGGAGCCTCAATAAATTCAACCGCTTTTTCGGGCATACAAAACAATTATATAACATAATTGGAATCATATGGTAATTGTCCAGGCATCTATAGTAGTTAGTAGCGTTTTTATCGCGAGCAGAATTGCTACGCACTAGATCGTTGTAAACGACCATGGGCTCCAGAGCAAGAATTCTTGAGAGCGATTTCGTTCACTACGTAGTGGAGCAAGTCTCAGGAATTTCATTCGGCTATGGCCGCACAAAAACTCTGGCCACCTGTGAAGGGTCTCCCAGCTAAGGACATACACTGAAATCCGGTTCCTGTCCGTCATTCATAAGCTGTGAAATCTCATATGGCGGAAAGGTGCACAGAGACCCCACAACGAAAAGGCACAAGCCTGATTTAGAGCAGGTCAAGGCCATACTGAAGCCAAGCTACAGTAGACCAACGCTCGAAGGATCTGACTCCCGGCGTGACGGGCAAAAGAAACATCGCCCCGGACCTGTCGCACGAACGAGCATAGTTCAAGAGTCAGTGCTCTCATGACTGAAATTTTGAGCAAACTGGATTGATCGAAATTGGGTATCACCCGAACATACCTCCATCCTTGGCGAAGCACTGCTTCTCTAAGGCCCTCATGCGCCCAGAGCCAGAGAGCCCAATAACTGTCATCCATGCACAGACCTGAAACCATGATGAGAAGCCCTGTGCAATTTAAGGTGTTCTCCTCAATTCAAGGGTATCGGCGGTATCGGGCTTTCGGGGTACGGTGTGTGATATGTTTTTCTGTACCTCATTCAGGCAGCTGTGAAGATCTCCGCCAGTGCACAGCTCCGTAACGATGTACACATCCTGCAGTCGCTGATTGGGTTGAATCAGCAACCTACTACAAAGGCAAGCGGGAACATGGTCAGGTTCGCATAAAACCATCCGCACCCTGCAGTCTGAATCTCTGTGCGCAGCTGTTGTAAATTGTGGGCCTGTTTCGGCACCAATTTTGAAGGAGCCTAGCAAACTGTCCCAGAGGAGCTTTAGTCGAAGCACTCAATGGTTGCGCTAACATCCACCAAAACATAAAACCGTGATAACTAAAATCCCACGAACGCCTCAGTCCACATCTGCGAGAATCCATCTGCCCACATACCCTTTCTTCTCACTGCAACTGCACCACTTTAAAGCCGACAGTCAGGCAAGTCTTCGTGAACGACAATTCCAATCGAAAAACCGAGACACCCTGAGACCTACCCCCACTCAGAGCCTTATGCTAACCCGTACAACGAACCCTCTTCATAATCGTTAGCAACACCCCTTCACCCTCAAGCCCAAAAGCGCTACAGCTCTGGGGCGCCTTGTCGTCCTCGTAAGCCTCAAAGAAGTGCAGGACGCGCGGATGATCCAAGGAGCTGAGGACCGAAATCTCCTGCGCTTAGTTGTTTTGTTCAGGCTGTGGGGGGGCTTTTTGCGCTTTAGGCTTCAGGGTTCAGTGTTGTTCTTGCTTTGTCGTAGCAGCGGCTCTTTTCCAGGGTCTGGTTGTGGCTTAAGAAGGGTCTAGGGTTCAGCTCTGTAGAGACGTAGTGGCCGAATGTCTGGTAGTTCAGGAATGATAGGCCGATAGGGTTTACGCATACAAACATTCAAGCACTGGTGAAATGCCGACTAGTGTCTAGAAGTTTGGATTTCGAGGTTCCAGGTCCGCTAAATGTAGTTTTTCCGCATGTGGGGTATCGCCTAGGGGTTCATGCTGTGGATTGCTGCAAGCAACAGTACATTCCATCTTGTTGCTACAGAAAAGACTTTCGTTCATGCCGAGGACTTGCATGATTTCGGACAGTCCCCAGGCCCAAAACTGAAGCCCAGACCAGACAGTGAAGTTGCGCCATACCCGCGATATGTCTTTGTCCAACCCACAACGCCTAACCTACACGTACTACTGTCCTAAACCCTTTGTCGGAACGATCGGATACTCTTCGGATACTCCTTGTAAGCCTCAAGCTGTAGCCAAACAACAAACTTGAACCTTGGAGCTCAAGCCCCTAAGACCTACAGAACTATATGGAGTGCCAGACAAATTAAACCGGGCCGTGGCATTGGCCAAGACGCCATGCGAAGCCGCGGCAGGTCGTCACAACCGGCCTTGGCCACTTGCCTTGGAAGCTCAATGACAAGCTTTGCTGAGACGTTAAAATGCAGATGTACGTGTGTACGTATACAGTCATGTAGATGCAAGCATGCATGTATGTATGCATGTATGTGTGTATGCATTCAAGTATGTCGGTAAACGCATAAATCAATGTACACATGCAGGTTTACACACATATATATATATATACGTATATATCATGTATGTGTACATATAAAATGCATCATATATATATATATATAAAAGTATTTATACATATCTGTATATACACACAACTATGTGTTTATGTGTTTATGTCTATCATGGATATGTTTTCTACACAGACATATAGCATTGCACATACGAAAGTAGATGAGCCAGCATGTGTATATTTACGATGTATCGCCTTGAGTGTTTGGTACATGCTAGGTCTTGGTTTGTGCTCGTGAGCGATGCCATCGGCATTGTTGAGTGGGTGATGCTACTGGTTACTGGTGGTGGTGATGATGTTGTTGGTGATGATGATGACGGTTGTGGTTGCGGTTTGAGGATAATTAATGACAAGCATGATAAAGCGCTGATGTCGGTTTTGGCTGTGACTCTTGCAGTCTCGTGTCCGAGCCGAGCTTACAAGTAGGCTTCCGTGGGGTAGCATATGTACACAAATCCATGCACGTAAAAATACACACCCGCACCCACACCCACCCACATACATACATACATACATACATACATACATACATACATAGATGCATACATGCACACATACAAACATACATACGTGCATACATACATACATACATACATACATACATACATACTTAATTACTTACTTACTTACTTACTTACTTACTTACTTAGATACACACACGCACACACATATACATACAACCGAACAAGTAAAAACTTGTCTTTTATGAACTTATGGTCCTGAAGCCATAAAGCCTAAGCCCGAAAAGTCCTGAAGAGACCTAGGCCCAAAGACCCAAACAAAAAGGCAGCATCTTGAGGGGTTGAACTCTGCAAGACCTGGTATATGGTTCTATTCCTGACGATGTTAGATGACATTCCGTAATTAACAAGACTGCACGGTAGCGCGTATGAAATTGGGCTCCGGCTTTATGGCCACGCGCTTCTTCACGTTGAAGCCTCGGTTCCAGGGCGTGCGTCCTCGAAGAACTGTGTAAACCGTAAGCATTTCAGGCTTTGGGGTTGCAGATTCCGGTTTAAACGTTTGGCTTTATTGTATCGTCCAATCCCAGGAGCTGATCACAAAAGAAGGCTATTCAAGACCACGTGCTACAATCTAGGGTTAAAGCAGAAGATTACTTATGACCGTTGAGGCTTTAGGGTCTGGGGGCGGATTAAGGGCTTAAGGCTCGCAGTGTCTGCGAGAAGGTCAAACCTGAATCCCAAACCCGACACAGGCCCCTGAACCCTAAGTCACAACAGCGTAAAGCTCCCAAATCCTGCATATTATTTTTATTTGCATGATCTCTTATATCATATTACCCACGCATTTAGAAACCAACACGCCGGTTGCCGGGCGAGTCACGGTGCTTCACTACGAAGACCTGCAAGGAAAGCAAAAGCATTGGGCCCAATTATATAAGATTAGAATTAAACAGAAAATGGGATCTTGCCCCGGGCAGCATTCAGAGCAAACGTCCTCAGGCAGAGAGCGAGAGAGCGAGAGCGAGAGAGACACAGAGAGACAGCGAGAGGGAGAGAGAGACAGAGAGAGGGAGAGAGCCAAACCGTGAGGTTGACAGACAGGGAGACAAGCAGATCTGCAGATAAATAAAGAGATAGGTAGGTAGGTCGGCAGGTAGGTAGGGAGGGAGGGAGGTTGGTATAGGTGGGTAGGTGGGTGGGTAGGTAGGCAGGCAGGGAGGGAGGTTGGTCGGTGGGTGGGTGGGTGTGGGTGGGTGGGGGGGTGGGTGGGTGGGTGTGGGTGGGTGGGGGGGTGGG